CACAAGCAGATCCCTAGTAGTCGTTCGGATTGTTTGTTTTAGATTGTCTCCTCTAGCGCTCTGACTCTAGAACCTAACCCCAGGGCAGCAGCGACGGCAAGCCAACTTATTTACTGGAAGTTCACCAGTCGCCATGTCACGGTGCCGTTCTCGGGCTTTGTAACATTCTGCAAGGCAGTCGGCGTGCCGGAGCCCATCCCTTCACGCCGGTCCGCGACTGCTTACTCACCAGACTCTGGAGTCTATTTATTTCACAGTCATGTCGAAGTAAGATGGTCGACAACTTTCAGACTCCGAAAGTAGAAGGTATGGAAGACAGTTTGACGGATGGAATTTTCTGGGACGAATGAGTGTACCGAAGCTCAGCAAGCAGGTACAGCCAGCGGCCTCGCCGGGCAAGTGCCAGCCGAAGTGAATCCGCATGATTTTGTCCGGTTCCGAACCGGTCAGCTAACTGGTGTTGAGATTAGGAAATGCGACTGACAAAACTACGGATAGCCTGTTTACGCGTGCCACATATATGACCTGCCCCCGTCCCCTATGAACACACCAGGACTCCACACCCAAAGGGGTGTATCGCTGGGATCTCACATGCAGCAGATAGGCCTCATGGAGAAAGCAGCCGAAGAGCATGTCCAAAGTGGTGTGGTCGACAAGACAAAGATTCCCAATCAAAAGTCAGGGAAGACGGAGTGAGTTTGGACAACCTTTACCGCAAGCAGTCGCTGCGAGGGCGCTCTCCAGGCAAGTTGTTGTCTGTCCGCCTTCGAGGTGCTGAGACCCAGCGCGTGTGTGCCTTTCGCTGTCTCCGCGTCCGCTAGCCAGTCAGAGGGGGGAGGGGGGGCGCAGCGTTGATTGGCCTGGAGCACTCGCGAGGCTAGTGATAAGCCTCGCGCGTCCCGGCAGCGTATCGACAAGGAGTATTAGGTGGACAGGAAGGTGCGTGACAAGGGCGGAGAGCAGGGAGACGCGAACTGCCACAAGCACACATCCCACTTGCGTGAGAGGTGCCGGTGGCGTGGGATGTTGCAGGTGCTCATTATTCATGATGCATGTTTTTATATGGGGGGTTTGTGATGATGTGGTCATGTTCGCGGTAATTTACCGCAGGTTTTCATAAATGCGCATGTGATCGAATAGGTGTATGCAGTGGCCGAATGTGTGAGGACAATCCGGACAGTTGAGGTGACGGAGTCCGGTGTATGTTGGTGCGCCAGGCACTGCCGTGCCAGTGTCTGTGGGCTGCATTCGCAAATAGCTGGACAGCCCGATCTATAAGGCAGCTGTGAGATCGTAATGAGGACAGGTTGGGACCGAGTCCACTTCGCTTTTGGTGGTGGTTAATGGGCCGTCGGAAGCGTTTTGGTCGGTGGCGTGAATGGGAACTGTGATGGTGATGGTGGCCGTCGCCGCCGCACAGGTTGTGGCAGTGATGGTTCAAATGGCGGTGGAGGTTTGAGCAGGGGTAGTCGAGGAGGAAGCAGTTGAGACTGTCGGCTGTTGATGAATCGGGTCCGGAGATGCCCGACGAGGCCGATCTGCGCGCGTAATATTCGTTGACAGCGCAGACATGTTGGGAAAGGGTTGGAGGTTGGCGTTCCGAGACAGGAGCCCCTGAGACTTGCGAGGTCTTCCCTTGGCTTTGAAAGCGGCGATCCGGTTGACTGCATAGATGGTCACTTCAGTCCTTACTGCTTTTCTCCAGGCCGGTCGGTTCGGTGTGAGGTCTTCCCAAGTCCTCATGTTGATTTATAATCGCCTCGAGGTGTCCTTATAACATCTTAGCTGATCTCCTTGTCGGTGAGCACCCACAGCAATATCTTCGTATGAGAGTTGTTTTGGAAGTCTCTCATTGTCCATCCTCACGAGGTAGCCGCTCCATAGTAGTTGTAGTTACCTCAGCACGGCGTGGAAGCTGAGGAATTCAGTGTGTTCTAAAACTTCTGTATTCGAGACCCTGTCCTTCCACCTCAGCTTCAGTATCCACCAGGAATAACTAAAGTACAGGTGATTGAGTTTTTGCGCTTCTTTCTCATAGACTGTTCGGATCTCTGTATCATACAGCGGCGTCATCAAGACGACATCTTTGTACACTTTCAGTTTGGTGTTGATGCGGCGACACACACAGAACGCTGACTCAGCGATGCTGGGAACGCATGTACTACCCTCAAATTGACGTCATGAGGTCAGCTGATGTTCGTAGAGCCACAAATGAGAGTTGAATACTAGGAAGGACCAGAGTGGAGTGACAGTCTTGTGCAGGTAGGCTCTTGCTGCGGCTGTAAAATTGCCAAACGAACTATCCCTGCCTGGCGTCCTACGCCTCCTGATTGTATAGACAAGCAGTTAGATGCAGACTCAACACGGTGGGCGTATGCTCGACAGAAAGGTACCTTTAAACGATTTCCTTATCTAACTTTAAATCATAACAACTTCGAAGTCTGGCTCATTCCCCGACAATGACGGGCACTCACTGGTCTCAACTTACATTAAGATATGCTACATATGTAACGGACCTATTAGTAACCTGTTACTTCTCCAAAACGGCGACAGCGAAGCTGCGTCCATCACTATACTACACGGTTGATTATTGAGGCCAACTTATTATCAGGACCACTGTCTGTCTAGACAGCATGATAAGCTAAGAGAAGGCACAATAACGTAAAACGGAAAGAACGAGGGGGTGGGCGACAGCCATTGGGCGAAGTCCCGGCCGCCACCATCCCCTGAGCGTCGACGTAACACACCGTACGGCAAAAGGGCGGAGCACAGTGGGTCGCATGGTCGTAGAGTTCGCCAGCGGAAAATGAGCAACTCTGTTTGACCTCAGAGACCCACTGGGGCTCCTCCTTCCCCTTCCTGAAAAAGTCTTCCACCTACCACCTCCATCACCTGTGGTATTTCGGCGTTCCTGCGAATGTCAGTACCATGCAAAGCCAATGGTAGGATTAGAGTTAGTGAGAACGTCATCGGAGGTTGAAGTGAAGTCAGGATTTCGACTTTGACCCAAGCCTTTAGCCCAAATAGGAAAGAATGTGCGGTTATTTACTGCACTGCCTCGTCTACCGTATCGCAAAGCCACTGGTTCGAAAAGGAACCTATCCAAACAAGGGAAATTCGGCAAATCAACTTTCCTGTTTTCATCCGCGGTCAGACACTGCATTGTGCTACGTTTGTTCACATCACCCAAACAACCACTGATTCAAAACATCTCCAAGCGGAAGAGGGTGATTATTCGGGGGTAGGGGAAGGAATAGTCGCCATTAGCCAGTCAAACACTAATCCTCGATGATCAGCTGACCAGAGTGGTATCACCGACTGATTACGTAAAATAAGTAAAGACGGGCCTTTTCCGTTGTGCCCTGACTGTTGCGTTGGCAACATTTCTAGACCAGAGTGAGTCACTCCGCGACGCGAACAGGCACAAGGCGGCAAGATTCAGGCGAGCGCGAGGTATCTCCCCCCCCCTGCCCTCTGTCCCGCCTCCGGCACAGCATCTAGGACGAGGGCTGCGCCGACAGGAATTAATTTAAACGCAGTCTCGGACGGCAGCCTCGCGCTGAACAGACCGTCTCTCTGGCCGTCACAATCGCCGCCTTCACAGCAGACAAGTTTCTGTCCTTTTACCGACGACTCCTGTGACAGATTTTATGACCGAACTCGGCGACGGCGGTGGCAGCGTTTCCGACAGCACCGAACTGCTGGTAATTATCCAGGTGCCTACACCTCCCCCTCCTTCCTGCCTGTCTCTGAGGCCTCTCCGAAGGGCTGCGTCAGCCGACCCGCCAACCGCAAAGTCTAACCTATTAGTCATCTTATCTTCTCCCCCCACCCCCCTGACTCTGACTCTTACCCACGTGCAAAAGCCCTCAGAAAATAAGACCGCGTCTGGATACTGGCACTCTGCCCCTGTCTGCATCACAAAAGACCAGTTCCCCTGAGCCTCACACCGTGGCCAACGTCGGCAATGCCAGCCCTCAAGGCAGCCGTGAGTTTGGGACTCTCAAGCGGCTTCAGAGTTGTTCGTTTCCAGCTGGCACGAGTCCCGTGTCCAGTGGAGGTGGGCTCCGTCCGTGGAATGAGACCAGAGCAACTACTGGGTGGGAAAATTATGCTGCTAACGAAATGTCGGGAAAGGCTCACCGCGAAAGAAGTTCTATCAATCTAGAACTCAGATCGGTGGAAGGGGAATGTGGTAAGAATGAAGGATGTTCAAAACAGTCGTCCAGAACGCTTGGCGTCTGCAAGCCCTTGTGTACTTCTTTAGATTACAGCTTTGGCCCCACAAAACACTGATCCAGTCTGAAGCAGACGGTCGCATAACAGCGGGCAAGAGCGTCCTTTTGGTCACGCAAAACGACAGTCTACTCCCTGGGCGCAGACAGTCCCTGAATTAAAAAAAAAAAACTAGGGGAATTCCGACTTGTGACGGCGCGTGCGCACTGCGCTACCACCTAGTGGCGAGTTTTTGAAAGCCGAGGGCGTTTCTGCAGGGCACTACACTCGGTGAGAAATCGATATGTCCGATCGAAAACTGTAGTTCAGAAAGAACTCAACCAGCGGACATATCGATTTCTCCCCCCGCGTACAGCGTCCTGGGAAATCACTCCCAGACTTGGGAAAGCGAACCGCTGACTGCGCCTACAGCGCTTGTTACCGACGTTCTGATAATTTCAAAAAATAACATAAATATACCTACGGTCCCCGCCTTCGACCTGCATTCTTCCTGGCAAGGCTGTCTCAATCATTCAAATGGATCCTTTGGCGTTAAAACATGACACGATAGGTTTTTTGAAAGCATTCACGGAAATCTGATTGCTGGATTCAGAGCGTGTCATTCCAAGGATTATTCTATGTGACGCTAGACAGGCAAGAAGTAATGCGCTAAAAACTTTCTGCCACAGGCTGGAATCATCAACGGGTTTCTTCACAAAACATCTGACAACATTAAATTAACTTCCCTACCGATTTCGAGCTCGACAAAAAGTATGGCTTAGCATCTAGTCAAACTGCACATAGCTGCTATCATCATCATCATCATCATCATCATCATCATCATCATCATCATCATCATCATCATCATCATCATCATCATCATCATCATCATCATCATCATCATCATCATCATCATCATCATCATCATCATCATCATCATCATCATCATCATCATCATCATCATCATCAGCAGCAGCAGCAGCAGCAGCAGCAGCAGCAGCAGCAGCAGCAGCAGCAGCAGCAGCAGCAGCAGCAGCAGCAGCAGCAGCAGCAGCGGCATCACCATCATCGGGCCGAATTTCAAACAGCGTGAACGGCAACTCTTTGCTCATTTCCACTTACGTCGATCCATCCATCGAAACGTACACAATCTCAATAGAATCACCCTCAAAACCGAAAAATCAGACCTGTTTTCATTCACTACCTGCGTACTTAAAGCTGTTAACAAGTTATATCTAGGCGAATGCCAAAGTTCCTACGCAATGATCACGCCAAAGTCGCCACCAAGAAGGCGGAGGGGCACCAGAACATGCACTCCGCCATCAGGCATTAAGATCATGACTGCTGCTGCTGAAGAGGAGGAGGCAAAGAGGACTGTGGATTTGGAAAATTGTCATTCTGAAGTACAAAACTAAGTTGCCGCGTCCTCAGAAGGACCGGTGAGTAAATCATGCTTACAGGCTTAAGGAAGTCCTTCGTTAGGTGCCACTTCAAAAGACGAGAGCAAGCACGTTCATGTGAGAAAATCACACTTTTGCAATAAAACGGAAGCCAGACCGCACCCAACAATTTTGATCAGCCGGCAATACGCCAAATTGCATATGATTGCCTGTCAATGTCACAAAGTGCCTGCTTTTATTTGTGACCATGAATATTCAAGGTAGGAGCCATCAGGGTGGGATCCAGAGACACAGTGGTAAAGCACAGATATCAAAATTAACTTGGATCAGGATTGTACTCCGGTGTTCCGGTTCCTCGGGTGCGTGTGTGTAACTCGAAGACGACAAAAAAGGAAGTTAGGCTACGGACCTACTAGTGTTGGAAATGGATTTTCTAACTTCATCCAAACTAGAGTAGGCCCATCCTCCTCCTACTTCCCCTCCTCATGCTCGCCCTCAACCTTCTTTCCATTCTTATCTCAGTTATTCAGCTCTGGTCTCGCCTTCCCATGCAACATAAGCTAAAACCCGAGAAACCCGGTGGGTAGGGATTTGGGTTCGGCAATATGCATTAGGCACATTGCCAAACAGATCCCTACTTGAGTGCTCTAAATATTGACGTTCAACTTGGGTGATTGCATAAATTAAGCACCAGTTCGCGATAGCGATAAAGAGAATTTCGTCTAGAATAGTAATTCCGCAGGAAAGGAGGACTGCTGTAAAACTTGAAGATGGTGGAATGAGGTTAAAAATGTTCCGCAGTTTCATCTCCCATCCCAGCATAAGAAGGAGCGCATTGAAGAGCTAGAAGTCCCCAGACTCCTACTCCTCTTCCTCCTCATTATCATCATCAAACTCATTTTCATTTACTATTCTCCAGTTCGCAATAAGGATAAACAAATTCTCGTTTATAACAGCTTTATTGTGGGAAATGAAGACTGCTTTAACACTTGAAGGTGGTGAAGTGAGGTAAAATATGTTCTGCATTTTCATCTTTAGTCTCAGAGCCCGATGTCAGCAGACGCACACTTCCGACTGCTCATCATCAGACCTGCAGAAAGCATGCACTTTGGACAGACAGACAGAGGGCGGCAGTCTACTAGTCTGGAGTTTAGCCAAGTGGTCTGTCGCCTCTAAATGGAGGCGCACAGAGCTGATCGTCGTAATGAAGATGACGGAGGTGGGTGTGACCGGACAGCTTGACGACTGGCGGCGGCGGCGGCGGGCACCAGCAAATCTCCTTCTGTCGATCATTTCGTGTCCGCTGATTGGGCCAGACTAGCGTTGCTCTCCTCACGCACACACCCGCACACACAACAAAGGTGTCAGTGTCAACCCTAACACCAGCTGACAAAATTGTCTTATTGGGCCACAAAAGACGGACACTAAAAGACGGACGCCATTTATCATTCACGCCTACCCCCACCCCTCTGGCGTAGAATGCAGCGACGTACCAACGTACTACCATCACAGAACAGATGACAGCAATAAAAACTGCTTTGACAACTGGCACTGCTCGCAGGACCCCAGAGGGCATCCCAAAGTCAGAAACATGAGGGACGGAATCACCAAGTTGGAGAAAAGCATGGCCAATCGTTCTCTCTCCCACATTCGCATTGTAGCACCAATCGCTTAATTGGTTCAAAACCTTCCGATTAATTGCGGACCGATCAACCGGAGTTCACTGCATTCGTGTAGTCCAGTAACAGTAGAATTACTCCGGCTGCCTTGGAAGTACACGGTGTGACCAACATCCATCACAGGGCATTGCAGTGGGTGAGATATAGAGGGGGGGGGGAGGGGAGGGACAAGAGGGAATGTGGGTTGATTGATACAGTACTGTTTCGGGCTTATTCTGTCTTCAGTCAGCTAATCATAACCCTGACCCCCAGATGCAGTCAGAGACCTAAACATGTGCTCGGAGATGAGAAAGATAGTCCACAGACGAGATCTAGTAAATGGATCCTAAACACTTCATTGAACCGGCTGTTGCTCAGGGTTATGACTGGATGAATGAAGGCAGAATAAGCCCGAAACAGTACTGTATCAATCAACCCACACTCCACCTTGTGCCTCCCACCCCCCTCTGTTATTGCAACTTGGCCGACTTCGGACTCGTAGTAGCTTACCTCTCCGTCACCTCTACCACCTATATGGAGCTTATTTGCTGAGGAATGCCATTAGATCGGTGTGTGACCATTCCATCCCCATTGAATGGATTAATTTGTTACAGAGAAAGCACGCACAATGAAGCTTGAAAGCATTAGGCGACCACTCAAACGCGAGTCATTTAAGAACACAAAAAATAATTGCATAAAACTTGAAGACCGCAGACGCACGCTGTCTCGACCACACCTCACCACACTTACACAAACATTTGCCCTACGACGAGGTTGTGAAAGGTGAAGAAGTGACCAATGACAAGGCTGGTGCAGAATAGGGCTGAAGGGTGCCAGATATGTCGCACATGCGGGAAGAAACTAACAGCTAATCAAGGGGGGCAGGGGGCGACGGCAGGGTGTGCTTATGTTCGATCACGGTAACGTGACACGGTAGGATCAGCAGTGGAATGTCTAGGGTTCATCTTGGAACCGGGCTAGTTGAGGTGTTTGAAGAGGCCTCTTCTGTGAGAATAATATCAAGCTCACTAAACGTATGAGCATTTATTTCGCCTTCGTAAGTATCCGCCGACGTAGGAATCTGGAGTGTTTCACCGGTCGATCAAATATCTTGACTGACGTCTACAAGATGAGCCATGTTAGTGCTGCCGATGAACTTTACGGTGTCTTAACATAGCCAGACAGAATGCTGTCCTCGAACTCGTGTGCATAGGCACTTTTTTCGGCCGGTCAGAATGATCTGATATACAGGAACACGTGGAAGTGTAATTGCGCCGCCAGGATGTCTGGGATGACTGCCCATTCTTATCTTTGAGCGGAAGGAAGCTAGCGCTGGTGAAAATCCAATTTTTCTCGCTCGATGGGTACGTATGCACAGTAGAAATAGCTAGGGGAATTTGGAGAAGTTCAATGGTCAAATCCTCCTCTCAACGGCATGTTTGGACATAGTTAATCCTTTTCAGCCCCACACACTACCATATTTGACAGACGCTCATCTTGTGATGTACTACTCGGGGGAACCACTTTGTGGGAGAGCTCACCGTCCAGGGTATCTGTAGAGCATATTTTGTATTTCAGTTGGCTAGGCAGTGGACTGAGTTTGGTGCCGACATCGGGAAGGAGGCAGCGAGGCCAAGGCTACACAAGCTCTCCTCCCAATAATCCGATTCACACCCAAGTGGTGATGGTGGTGGTGGTGGTGGTGGCGGCGGCGGCGGCGGCGGGGTGTTTATCGCCTAGTTGCCGAACGAACTCTCGATTCGCAGACGAATGGGACTTGGCTCAGAGAGGGAGGTGGGGTACGGGGACGATTTTGGCTCACTGCCTCCCCTCACCCCCATCATGCTCCTACGGCCTGAACTGGAACTGTTCTCCTGGCTGACCTGGCGTAAGGCGCGACTCACACTCAGGTTTATTGGCGTAAGCTGACTCTTAGCCTCACCCTGGAAAATGGACGAGTTGGGTGCTCTCTTTTTCTGGAGGTTCTGCTACAGCCTGTTACGCTAGCACAAGGCCATCTATTTTTGGCTAACATTTGGACATTTTTGTGCAGATACATGCGATTTTTTGCATAACTGAGTCAAAAGGAAGCTTTAGTGTGGGAAACTTTCCATCATAAAGTGGTCACATATGGTATTTAAAATGATCACAATATGGCTGCCCCATAATTACAAGGCCACCTGGTGTGTCACCGCAATAAACTGGTCGTCACTAACATCCAACAGGGTGGATACATTCCGGTGGGTAGCACGCACAAATTTTTTGTTCACATGATCAACATGCTCTGCATTAGGCGATGAGGTCTGTGCGTCCCCAAGTAGGCGACAGACCACTTGACTGAACTCCAGACCAGTAGACTGCCGTTGTCTGTCTGTCTGTCTGTCCAAAATGCATGCTTTTTGCAGGTCTGATGATGAGCAATCAGTAGTGTGCGTGTGCAGACTTCGCTCTCTTAAATGCATTGTTTTTTTGCTGAGACTGAAGATGAAATTGCAGAACATATTTTACTTCACTTCACCACCTCAAAATGTTAAATCAGTTTCCATTTTCCACCAAAATACCGTAATAGAGGAGAATTTGTTTATCCTTATTGTGAACTGACGGATAGTGAATGAAAATGAGGTTGAGAGTATGAGTGGGGTGGTCAGTGTTTATGATGATGATGATGATGATGATGATGA